CAATGATCGAATGGAAACTGACCTGGTTCATTAATGTCCTTTCGGGGAGGAAATCTGCCATCCTTACCCAGTTCGGCCTTACGTGTGACTCCAGACTGACAGAAATAAACTTACTCTTAACTGCCCTCAAACGGCTTAGAGATCTACTGAGTTGAAGAGCAATTAAAAATGGGCAATAAATGTTGGTCTGGTCAGGAATGCCTACATCTCTTGAAAGACTAAAGGATATTGTGGACAATCCTTATTTGGTTCTGGTGCCGGGGGAATGGTAATATTCAGTCTCAGATACAATGAGTCTGAAACTGAGAATATCCAACAAAGTTTGGATTGAATACAACTTTATAAAATAAAATTTTAAGATAAAATTCCAGTAGGAATGGAGTTGTAAGAGAAATGGTTTAAGCTGAAATTGTGGGTCACAACAAGATGCCTGTGGCTCAGTGAAGTGAGTTTATAGTGAGACACACAAAAGCTATTCTTACAGGAAATACAGGCCCTTCCCTATCCTGTAGAGCAACTGGAAATCATCAGACAGACCCAGTTCAAGGCTGTTTGTTTTTATAATATCAAAGAGGAAGCCACTTTGGGTTAGCACAAGAGTCACAGGAACGATAGACAGACACTATTCTGGATATTATTGGAAAATTATCTAAAACAATCACATTTCCTGGAAATGATCACCAGGGTAACAGTTTCCATGTGTTTATCAAGTTCAAAACATATGGCCACCACAACAAAGGTCCTCCTCCTGAGTCCTCACTGTTCCCCATCAAACACTCCCAGGACAGGGACAGCACAGAGTTAGATGCAGAGTAAAGCTCCCTCTATTCTGTCCCTCATCAAACACTCCCAAAACAGGGACAGCACTGGGTTAGAAACAGAGTTAAGCTCTTTCCACTCTTTGAGAATGAATGTAAAGCTTTCTTTACTCTTTTCAACTAAAAGTGAAGCTCCCTCTATACAGACCCCATCAAAGACTTTCAGGACAGGTACAACACAGGGTCAGGTATGGAGTAAAAGTCCTACAAAGCATTTAGTTTAACTATCCAAAATGTGTACAATCAATATTTTATTCATTTATAGGACGTGGGCATTGCTGGCTGGGCCCAACATTTCTTGCCCGCCCCTAGTTGCCTCTTAAGAAGGTGCTGATGAGCTGTCTCTTGAACCACTGTAGTCCTCCTGCTGTGGGTCGACCCACAATGATATTAGGGAGGGAATTCCAGGATTTTGACCCAGTGACAGTGAAGGAACGGCGATATATTTCCAAGTCAGGATGGTGAATGGCTTGCAGGAGAACTTGCAGGAGGTGGTGTTCCCATGTATCTGCTGCCCTTGTCCTTCTAGATGGAAATGATTGTGGGTTTAGAAGATGGTGTCAAAGTAGTTTTGGTGAATATTTTGTAGATAGTACACACTGCTGCTACTGAGCATCAGTGGTGGAGGGAGTGAATGCTTGTGGATGTGTCAATCAAGCGGCTGCTTTGTCCTGGATGGTGTCGAGCTTCTTGAGTGTTGTTGGGGCTGCACCCATCCAGGCAAGTGGGGAGTATTCCATCACACTCCTGACTTGTGCCTTGTAGATGGTGGACAGACTTTCAGGAGTCAGGAAGTGAGTTACTCGCTGCAGGATTCCCAGCCTCTGGCCTGCTCTTGTAGTCACTGTGTTTATGTGGTGAGTCCAGTTGAGTTTCTGGTCAATGATAACCCCCAGGATGTTGATAATGGGGGATTCAGTGATGGTAACACCATTGAATGTTAGGGGATGAAGATTAAATTCTCTCTTGCTGGAGATGGTATTGCCTGGCATTTGTGTGGCATTAATGTTTACTTGCCACTTGTCAGCCCGAGCCTGGATATTGTCCAGATCTTGTTGCATTTGGATATGGACTGCTTCAGTATCTGAGGAGTTGTGAATAATGCTGAACATTGTGCAATCATCAGTGAACATCCCCACTTCTGACCTTATGATGGAGGGAAGGACATTGGTGAAGCAGCTGACGGTGGTCGGGCCGAGGACACTACCCTGAGGAACTCCTGCAGAGATGTCCTGGAGCTGAGATGATTGACCTCCAACAACCACAAACATCTTCCTATGTGTCAGGTGTGACTCTAACCAGCAGAGAATTTGGCCCCGATACCCATTGATTTCAGTTTTGTTAGGGCTCTTTGATGCTATGAGAGGAGACTAATGGGGCGGTAATTAACTGGGTTGGATTTGTCCTGCTTTTTATGTACAGGACATACTTGGGCAATTTTCCACATTGTCGGGTAGATACCAGTGTTGTAACTGTACTGGAACAGCTTGGCTAGGGGAGCGGCAAGTTCTGGAGCACAAGTCTTCAGTACTATTGCCAGAATGTTGTCAGGCCCATAGCCTTTGCAGTATCAGTGTCTCCAACCGTTTCTTGATTTCACATGGAGTGAATCGAATTGGCTGAAGACTGGTATCTATAATGCTGGGGACCACTGGAGGAGGCCAAAATGGATCATCCACTTGGCAGTTCTGGCTGAAGATAGCTGCGAATGCTTCAGTCTTATCTTTTGCACTGATGTGCTGGGGTCTTCCATCATTGAGGATGGGGATATTTATGGAGCCTCCTCCCCCATTGAGTTGTTTAATTGTCCACCACCGTTCACGATGAGATGTGGAAGGACTGCAGAGCTTAGATCTGATCCGTTGGTTGTGGGATCACTTAGCTCTGTCTATTACTTGCTGCTTTTGCTGTTTGGTGTGCAAGTAGTCCTGTTTGGTGGCTTCACCAGGTTGGCACCTCATCTTCAGGTATGCCTGGTATGCTCCTGGCAATGCCTCCTGCACTCTCCATTGAACCAGGGTTGATCCCCTGGCTTGATGATAATGGTTGAGTGGGGGATATGCCGGGCCATGAGGTTACAGATTGTGCTGGAGTACAATTCTACTGCTGTTGATGGCCCACAGCACCTCATGGATGCCCAGCCTTGTCTTGCTAGATCTGTTTGAAATGTATTCCAGTTGGACCACAACATGATTGGCAGCTGCTTGACCATGTCATTGTCCAAGTGAGGAAACAGCAGGATGTTTGCAGCACCCAGACCATGCCAGGAGCTGACCACTGCTGCACTGGCCTTTGCCATTGGCCAGGCCTCAAACCATCAACACCAACACAGTGGAACTGCAGCAGGACACGCAATGTCAATGCACTCTGAAGAAAAGTGGACTCAATCAGCATGTCACAGTGAACCTGCGCTCCACAATCAGGAGCCACACGGTATCCACATCATCACCATAAAAAACCACCTGTGAGGGGCTTCATTGTTACCCAATCAGGAAGCACGGAAATTGGTTTGATGAGAATAACCAGGACGATCCTGGAACTATGAAAATACAAACGCAAGGTGTTCCTGAACTACAAGGTAGTGTCAGCACTCACTGGGAAAGAAGCAGGTCTCAAAGCATTGGTCCAACAACAAAGTAAAACTGTGTTATCTGAGCAAAGGATTGTGGGTGGGAAGAGGAGAAGCAGCAACTCAACGAGAGCCAAAGGATGAACGCCTTGTTCAAGACCATCAGGAGACACACACAATCTCCTCAATGGGAATGTCCTCAAGTAATCCCCCAGCACTGACCCTCCGACAGTGCGGCGCTCCCTCAGCACTGACCCTCCGACAACGCGGCGCTCCCTCAGCACTGACCCTCCGACAGCGCGGCGCTCCCTCAGCACTGACCCTCCGACAGCGCGGCGCTCCCTCAGCACTGACCTTCCGACAGCGCGGCGCTCCCTCAGCACTGACCCTCCGACAGCGCGGCGCTCCCTCAGCACTGACCCTCCGACAGCGCGGCGCTCCCTCAGCACTGACCCTCCGACAGTGTGGCGCTGCCTCAGTACTGTTTGGGATGAAACAAACAGGTTAAAATGGAACTGGCTGAAGCATTGATCATTTAAAGGTCATGATGTGATGCATTGGAATATAGGAGGAATTGGATATTACTTTAAGAGATCAATCATAGGCATCATGGGCCAAATGGTCTCCTTCTGTGTTTTAGTACTTTAATCTAGTCATCGATGTGATAACAATGTGTTGATTTTGTTGTCCTTTCTCTTTTCCTGTTTAGATTATGATGATTACTCCAATAATGATTCACCAGTTCACCCAGCAAAGGGCTCCATCCCAAAAGTTGCTGATATCATGAGAACATTTCTTGCTAAGCAGCACACTCTAAATGGTTCCAATCACACAGTGTGGGTGGTGGGCAAGAGAGCCAGAGAGTTACTGACTGGACCCCTCACCACTGCCACCATCCCAGCTCTCTATATTCTGGTCTTTGTCATTGGCCTCCCAACCAATGGCCTGGGACTCTGGGTCATGGCAAACAGGGTCCGCAAATTACCGTCCACCATCTTCCTGATGAACCTGGCTGTGGCTGATCTGCTCCTGAGCCTCGTGCTGCCGTTCAAAATTCACTATCACCTCCTGGGCAACGACTGGCTCTTTGGTGAAGCTCTGTGTCGGACAGTGACCGCCTTTTTCTACGGGAACATGTACTGCTCCATCCTGCTTCTCACCTTCATCAGCATCGACAGGTACTTCGCTCTGGTCCATCCCTTTCGCTCCAAGCGTTTCCGGGACAATAGCTTCGCTGTCGGGAGCTGTTGTGTGATTTGGGTCATTGCTGTTCTCCTGGTGTTGCCTTTCTTGTTTGTGGAGCAATTGTACACCATTCACAACCTCAACATCACCACATGCCACGATGTCTTACCCCTCGAAAGTCAGGCTGGCTATTTCTTCTATTATTTTGTGTGTCTGGTTGTGTTGGGCTTTCTTGTTCCTTGCTGTGTGACGGTTTTTTGCTATGGCTCTGTAATCCGGACCCTGATTCAGACAGAGAAGCGTTATATCCGTGCTGCAGTGCTCACAGTATTGATCTTGCTGGTATTTGTGGTGTGCTTTGCTCCCAGTAATTTCATTCTGCTCGCTCACCACTCTGAGTACCGGCTGCATGAAGACAGTGAACTGTATATTTATTACATGTTGGGCCTGGGCCTCAGCAGCTGCAGTAGCTGCATTGACCCCTTCATTTATTACTACGTTTCCGATGAATTTAGAGCTAAAGTGAAACGCGCTGTTTACTGCCAGAAAGACAAAGGCAGGGCCTTCTCGGGTAAAACGTCCCAGGAGCTCCTCTCTACAACCACCTATTCACCATCCACCCACACTGCAGGCCTCACCAGGGGCATCTGAGCCAGGGGCAGCCCCAAAACCAAACCAAACAAACTCTGCTCAGAATATCCCCTCAGTCCCCCCACCCCGAGATCGCCAGATTGAAAAGGATCCCAAATATATCGATCCAAACAGATTCTGCTTCCCCCACTGTCATCATTTTGGAATTTACAAAGTGGAAGTGTTCACTTTTTAAGAGAAAGTATGGGACAGGTCAGGGGGTGCAGGTGAAGGGGATCAGGTTAAACACCCAGGCCATGTACCAGCCCAGCAGAGCTGCTGTTTGCTTTCTCTCGAGGGGGTGGGGCTGTTCCTGGTTATTCAGCCCTGTTCTAAACTCCTCTTTCAGTCTGACCCATAGATCAACCTGCTTAGGGATACGCTGCCTGGAGCAGTTGGGACATGAACTAATCTAGAGGTACGGACACTACCACTGTGCCATATGGACATTCAGAGGTAAGTTTCTGCCACAATTTGAACTGGGATCAAGGGGTTCAGAGTCCAGAGGACTCCCCGCTACCCCAATGAACCCCACAGCCCTTATCCCTAATTGCCCCAAGGGAAGGTGCCATTAAATTGTAACAGTTTATGCCCAGGTCTGAATAACCCTCCGAGTATAAAGACCCTTCTCTGTCCTCCTGTTCAACCTGAGGTAATTTATAAGAACTGAAAGAACTGCGGATGCTGTAAATCAGAAACAAAAACAGAAGTTGCTGGAAAAGCTCAGCAGGTCTGGCAGCATCTGTGAAGGAGAAAACAGAGTTAACGTTTCGGGTCAAATAGGGGAGGAAGGGTCACTAGACCCGAAATGTTAACTTTGATTTTTTTCTTCACAGATGCTGTCAGACCTGCTGAGCTTTTCCAGCAACTTCTGTTTATGTTTCAGGCAATTAATATCATGTCTGTTTTTTTTTGGGGGGTGAAGCACGGTTTTATCAGCAGGGCAGACCCCCACCTAAAAATACCCAACTCCCAAACCCCTGGGCATACATCCAATAAAACTGGGGGTGGTTGTAAAATGTAGAACCTACTGCAACTTGCTTTTCGTTTATTGGGCGGGGAGTGAAATGGTTGAGCAATTCACTCAGTGATTATTGTTATTCTCCATAATAGATTTGTATCTCACAGTATCGCATTGTAACTTGTATAAATTCTGCATCACACAGTCTCCGTGTCCATTTTATTTGCTGTCGGGTGGAATGATCGCACAGTCAACATTTATCTCTTGGCCTTGTCTCACTCTCATAGAGTCCCTTTATTGTGGAAACAGGCCATTCAGCCCATCAAGTCCACAGTGACCCTCTGAAGAGCATCCCACCCTAACCTATCCATGTAACCCTGCATTTCCCATGGTTAATCCACCTAGCCTGCACATCTTTGGACTGTGGAAGGAAACTCGAGCATCCAGACAAAACTCATGCAGACATGGGGAGAACATGCAAACTCCACACAGATAATTGCCTGAGGATGGGATTGAACCCAGATCCCTGGCGCTGTGAGGCAGCAGCGCTAACCACCATGACACTGGCTCAAGTGGAGGGTTACGGCTGACATCGAGTGTGAATATTAAGGAGGTTCTTCTACAGAAACCATTGAAACCCAAGAAAGATGGGGATAACTCCCACAAATATCCGCCCAGCACAGCTATAACTCCAGCCCATTCAGAGCATTGCCAGATTAAAGCAACTCCCCTTCGCAGACAGAATCCCAAGTCTGTGTTGCTTATTGCTGCTTTCTCAGTGTGAGAGGTGAAGATGGTTAAATTGGTCAGTGCAGGTTTCCTACACATTACTGACTAACCACAAAGACCAAATTCCAACAGGCCAGGACTCACATGGACCTGTTTATTTATGGAAACATTCCTTTAATAATTGGCCAGAAAAATATCCCTGAGCTGTGGGACACCCTGAGCAATGGCTTGGAAATCCCGAGGCCTTGACGAGCTGAGAATATCGTTCCCAATAAAATTCAGGGCATCAGGGAGATGTAGGAGGGCCTCCACAGAAGGAAACCTTCTGAAGAAAACATTCAAGGACAAAACGTTGTATGATTTAAGAAGAAAAACAGAAATTGCTGGAAAAGCTCAGCAGGTCTGGCAGCATCTGTGGAGGAAAGAACAGAGAGTTGACGTTTTGGGTCCAGGGACCCTTCCTCAGATTCTTCATTAGATCCTGATTTACAGCAGCTGCAGTTCTTTTGGTATGATTTAGGAAGTTCGATATGGTGCTTGGCACTAAAGAGACCAAAGGGAGAAGAGGGAGGATTTGGGGGAAATTGGGAACAGAGTCCGGAGTTGGATGATGGGTGATGGAACAGGCTCAAAGGGCCGAGTATCCTATTGTGACTCCCACTGTGTTTGAAAACTGCCTGCTGCAGGACTAATCCCTCTCTCACTTCTTCCACATGCCCTTCAATGGCAATACTAACACTGAAACCTCTTTGACCAACATTCTGGGTATTAACCATTAACTACAAACTGAACTGAACTTGCCATATAAATACTGTGGTTGCAACAGCAGGTTAGAGTCTAGGAATACCGCAGCAAGTAACTCATCTCCTGCCTCCCCAAAGCCTGTCCACCATCTACACAGCACAAGTCAGGAGTGTGATGGAATACTCCACACTTGCCTGGATGAGTGCAGCCCCAACAACACTCAAGAAGCTTGACACCATCCAGGACAAAGCAGTTGGTTGATTGGCCCTACCTCCACAAGCGTCCATTCCCTCCACCACCAACGCTCAGTAGCAACAGTGTGTACTGCAGAAATTCATCAAGGTTCCTTAGACAGAAGGCTCCTAGAAGGATAAGGACAGCAGGTACATGGGAACACCACCACCTCCAAGTTCCCCTCCAAGCCACTCACAATCCTGACTTGGAAATATATCACCGTTCCTTCACTGTCACTGTGGGCACTGTGTGCCTTTCCTGAGGCATTGTAGACCTAGTTAGAGCACATAGGCTGCAGCTGTTCAAGAAGGCAGTTCACCACCACCTTCTGAAGGGCAACTAAGGACGGGCAAGAAATGCTGGTCCAGCCAGAGACACCCACATCCTATGAATGAATAAAGAAAACACATCTGAATGGGTCAGTCAATGTATTACAATCCAAGAAATCAGTTTTGTTTTTTGAGTGTGTAGATTGGACAGTGAATCCCAGTGTGGGTTTGAATTGCAATTGGAAACGTGCTGAAGCAGAAATATGTTTCACTTCAATATTATGTTATTATTGAGGAGTGAGAGGTCATCGTCCCCTTTCCTTGCCCCATTCCTCAACTGGTCACATCAAAAGTTCAAATGGAACCAGGTTAGTGACCTGACCAGTTGTCTGGGTCTCAAGACTGTGTGAATGATAAGTCAACAAGAACAAATCACAGAAACAAAGATGCAAAGTGTATTCATAAATCATTTGGATTATACAAACTTGATTAAGCAACCATAAATAAAAAAAACTGTCACAGACACAGAACCAAAATATAAATGAAAACCATGTAGATTGCTCATTTTAAAGGACTTTGGCTAAACAGTAGATAAACACACAAAAAAGAATGAGTCTTGCATTGTCTCTCATTCTGAATTATTCTGTAGCACAAGATGCTGGAAATGGAGTAGCGTCCCGGAACATTTGTATTTGTTTTAACTCCCTTTGCTTCAGACGCTCGCTTAGTGTCCAAAGAATCTTCTCCAGGAAGTGTCCATGAGGGGGAAAGGTGGGATTTCAGTGGGCTTTCAGGAGTTAGAAAGAAAGAAAAGGAGCAATGGGCTGTTATCCTGCAGGCAGGTGACATTCCCCCACCCCCCATAAACACGGTCCCCTCCCCCTTCCCACCCACACCCCATTCCCCACTCCCACCCTGTATTTCTGTTTTCGAGAAGGGCTCATCGATGTTAGATTGTTTTGTTGTGATTATGGAATGTCAAACTGCTTTGGCGAGCCAGAAAGGGACAGTGGGCAGGCTATTTCTTTCAGAGTGCGAATGCAATCATCGACTGGATAGTATTTGCTGCCTGCAATGTCTGAAGTGAAATGAATTTAGAGTCAATCCAAGTGATTGGGTGTGCATTCTGGTGCAACACCTCACTATTAACATTTCATTTCCATTCTTGGGATTGGGCATTGCTGGCAAAGGCGGGCAGACTGGAGTCTGATGAAGGTCAGTGAAGAGAAATGTGAAGTGGATGGACTGGGGCCAACTGTCTTGCAAAAACAGGAGACATTATTGACCAAGGAAGGAAAACCAGGTGGATCAGAGAATTGAGCTGTCATTTCAAGGGACCCTCTTACTCCATTGATCCCATTAGTTTTCCTTTATCACATTGGATTGATACATTTACCAAATGGCTCATAAATGGAGTTCTTTGTGTTGACCATTAGGGATGGGCAATAAACACTGAATTTGTTAGCGATGTCTGTCACTCCTGAAACAACTTTCAAACATTCCTCCTCCTAATACACATTGTTATTGTTGGCAGGAACAGGATTGACTGCCAAATATTTCTTTTTCTCTTGCAACACACCAACTTTGATGGTAATTTTTAAAATTCTGCAAAATCATACATTGAACCTGGACGCAGACTCCAATACAGGGGACTCAAAGTAACAGATAGCTGCGAGGGGTACACAAATGGCTGGGGGGCACTTAAAAAAGGAATTAGGGGAGGCGACAGTTTTATCAGTAAATTAGGGACAAGAGAATAACAAGGAAAAGTGTAGGGCCCGTTAGGGAGCAAAGTGCCAAACTCTGTGTGGAACTGGAAAACATAACTGAGGTGAACATTTTGCATCTGTATTTACTCTGTATTTATTACAGAGAAGGATGATGTAGGTCTGGAAATCAGGGATGGGGACCTGTGATACAGTTAGCATTGGGAGGGATGGGTTATTTGTGGTTTTAGCTGGCTTGAAAGTAGATAAATCCCAGAGGCTGCTGTGGACGGCAAGGGACAAGATTGCATTTTCAAATTCTCTCTGGCCATTGGAGGGTTGCCAGAGGACTAGAGAACAGCTAATGTAGTAGCATTAACCAAGAAGGGTGGTAGGTATAAACATCAGCGGTAGGGAAATTATTGGAAAAAATTCTAAGGGACACAATTAATCTCAACTTGGAGAGACAAGAATTAATCAAGGAAAATCAACATGACTTTGTCAGGGGGAGATCAAACCTGCCAGGTCTGACTAAATCTTTCTGGGAGGTGACTGGTCACTAGGAGTGTAGATAAGGGGAGTGGAGTTGATATGGTCTACGTGGACTTCCAGGAGAATCCTGGAAGAGTGGGAGAGTTCACATGGGAGAGTGGTGAGGAGGCCAAGAGCCTATGGGATCTAGGACACTTTAGCAAATTGGACCCTAAACTGGCTTTAGCGGCAGGAAGCAGAAAGTGATGATTGATATTTTTGTGACTGCTGCCTGTATCCTGTGTGTACCACAAGGTTCAGTGCTGGGTTCTTTGCTGTTTGTTGTGTACATTAATGAATGTAAGCAGTTTAAATGGTAATATCACAAGTGGTGTGTTAAATTTGGTGGTGCTTAACTAGAATCATAGAGTAATACAGCATGGAAATAGGCCCTTCGGCCCAAACTGGTCCATGCTGACCATGGTGCCCACTCAGCTAGTTCCAATTGCCCACATTTGGTCCATATCCCTCTAAACCCTTCCCGTCCATGTACCTTTCCAAATGTTTTTAAAACGTTGCTATTGTACCTGCCTTGACCACTTTCTCTGGCACCCCATTCCATATTCGCACCACTCTCTGTGTGAAGAAGTTTCCCCTCAGGACCTTCTTAAGTCTTTCCTCTCTCACCTTAAACCTATACCCTCTGGTTTTCAATTCCCCGTCCCTGGGAAAAACACTATATACATTCATCCTATCAATGCTCCTCATGATTTTATACACCTCAATAAGGTCACCCCTCATTCTCCTACATTCCAAGGAATAAAGTCCTATCCTGGCCAACCTCTCCCTATAACTCAGACCTATTAGTCCTGGCAACATCCTCGTAAATCTTCTTTGCACACTTTCCAGTTTAACTGTATCTTTCCTATAACAGGGTGACCAAAACTGTACACAATACTCCAAGTGCGGCTTCACCAACAACTTATACAACTGTAACATAACGTCCCAATTCCTGTACTCAATGTCTTGACCGATGAAGGCCAGCATGCTAAATGCCTTCTTCACCATCCTGTCCACCTGTGACACCACTTTCAACATACTATGTACTTGTATTCCTAGATCCCTCTGTTACACAACACTCCTCAGGATCTTACCATTTACTGTGTAAGTCCTACCTTGGTTTGACTTTCCAAAGTGCAACATTTCCTCAGCTCACTTCCCCATCTGATCAAGATCTCTCTGTAATTTTTAATAACCTTCCTCGCTATCAACAATACCTCCTAATTTTGTATCATCCACAAACTTACTAATCCTGCCTTGTACATTCACATCCAGATCATTTATGTAAATAACAAATAACAAAGGTCCCAGCACCGACCCCTGTGGCACACCACTAGTCACAGGTCTCCAGTTCGAGAAACAACCTTCAACCATTCCCCTCTGCTTCCTACCATCGAGCTGATTTTGAATCCAATTCGCTCACTCTCCCTTGATCCCATGTGACCGAACCTTCATGGCTAGCCTGCCGTGCAGGACCTAGTGAGGAGAAAAGCTACAGGGCAAAATGAACAGGCTGGTCAGATGGGCAGAACAGTGGCCAATGGAATTTAATCTTTAAAAGTGTGAGGTGATGCATTTAGGGAGGACTAACAAGGCAAGGGAGTACAAGGTGAATGGTAGGACCCTAGGGAGTAGAGAGTATCAAAGGGACCTTGGTGTTCATGTCCTTGGATCTTTGAAGGCAACAGGACAGGTAGATACAGTGGTTAAGAGATAAGTGGGATACTTGCCTTTCACATTCAAGGCTTTGATTACAGGAGCAGCTTACAATGGAACTGTATAGGAGATAGTAGGAACTGCAAATGCTGGAGAATCCGAGACAACGGGTCTAGGCCCGAAACGTCAGCCTCTCTGCTCCTATGATGCTGCTTGGCCTGCTGTGTTCATCCAGCTCTACACCTTGTTGTCATGGAACTGTATATGTGAGTTAGGCCAGAGCTATTTGCAGTTCTGGGAACTGCCCTATAGGAGATAACAAGGTGTAGAACTGGATCAGAGGAGCAGGAA